CATTTTAAGTTATGAATGTAAATTTTTTAATCATAATACCGGATAATGAAACCGAAGTTGACAATGAATTTATTGATGTAATATTCAAAAGAAAGGGTCATACAGTCGGACAGAAGTTTGTAGATTGAAAAGAATGAAAACCTAACCTATATGCATATATATTACTTTCTTAAATGCATAGAAGCAAACGTTTAAAATTTTTTATCTTCTAAAGAAACAAAAACAGAAATCAAAAATTAAGCAAAACTTAACTTTAATTATCTAATTATTTTAATTTTCTTTTATAACATATTATAATTAATTAATATTTATAAGTATAGCTTGGCCCAATTATAAATATTCTCATTTAGAGAAAATTAATATAATATAAAAACTTTGAATATGCTAAAAATCGTAACGGATTCAGTTCTGACTTATGTTAGAAAGTTAAGGGTTATTGATAAATTAGCCAATTACTATGCCTGGATTTCTCATTGGATATGAACTTCAACTATTTTTTTGCGAGTCAACACTGATCAGACCTAAGAGTGTAAACGGTTATGTCGTTGATTGATACTTGTCACTTATTTTAGTTATTCGTATTATGCTGTAATATATATATATTATAAATTATTTAATTACTCTTATTTTAATTATCATCGTTGCCATTCATACCTTAGGTATAAATAATTAATAAATCTTGTAATTTGCCAATAAAAGACTTAGAGAAATTCGTTTAAAACTTACCTGTTTCTGCGAAAAACAATGAAAGATTCTGTAACTTGGAATCAAGTATTTGATCATCTTTTTTAAATTATTGTTATTAATAATTATATCCTTCTGTAAGACGAAGAGAAACAGTAAAACATACCATTCACATTAAGGACTTCATTTTCTTTCACATTTTTAATAATTGGAAGTCGTTTGCTGGTATAATTTGTTAAGGATCGAGTTTTCTTTCCAATTGCAAGTTCTGATTTTCGCAGTTCTGCAGCTTGCATTTGTTGATAAAAGTCTATAGGCTTATCCTATCAATATAAGATAAATTCTAATCTTCATGTTTGTTTTAATATTGTGCACAAATCAAATTTACTGCATACCCATCCGTAACACCATTGCCGTAATCGTGTTGCCAGCTTCTCAGCAGTAGGGCGCTTAGATGGATCCGCATCCCAGCATTGTTGCATCATTTCAGCATAGCATGGTGGAATGGCATCAAAGACTTGAGGCCGAATACCATTGTAGATCTCTAAAGCGAGGTTTGTGTCATGTGCACGTTGTGAATGTGGCAATTCGCCTGTAGCCAATTCCCACATAACAATGCCAAAGCCATAAATATCCGAAGCACTGGTGTATGGTCTGCCGGACAAGATTTCAGGAGCAACATAAGGCAAAACATCATACTTTTCATTGCTTGATGTTGCTTCAGGTGGTTTGCTCAATCCTAGGTCACCAATTAGTGCATTCCATCGTGTTAAAAAAAGGTTTCCACTATGAAAATCGCGATGAACTAGTCCTGCTAAGTGAATTTTATAGAGACCAGTGGCAATATTGTAGAGTCTACTCAGTCGTGTGATCCAATTTATCGTGTCAGAATTATTATGAATAAACGTGCGCAAATCGCCTTCGTCACAGAATTCGAGAACGATGGTATACTCTTTGGTACCAGGATCCTGAGAAATGCCAAAACATCGGACAACCTGAGATTTATCAGAGCTATTACAATCAATATGTTTGGCGATCTGTTGTGATTCATATATGGTAAATTGGTAAATCTAGGATTATATGTTTTGATAAAATCTAAAAGTGAACAGAAAGGATTTATGTACCTCATTTAAATATTCTTCAGAAATATTTTGTGAGTTATGTAACTTCTTTAATGCAACATATTGCCTGTTTGTATTGGCCCGAATCCACTCATTGTATTTGTGATCCCATCTATATATATATCCATCAAACCATTTTGCAAGGTAAACTGTACCAAATCCCCCTTCGCCAATACATCCATGAATTTCGAACCGGTCATAAGGAATCCATTCAAGTACAGAACTGTCATGAGGCGCACTAAGTTGACTGTTTTTGATGAGTTCATCGATTTTCTCATTTCCACTCGTCCAGGTATGGAACTGGTCCTGGAAATGGCGGCTGTTACAAAGTTTGCACCATGAGTAGCCACCTGATTGTCCACATTCTTTGCAGTCACCGTAAATGACAGGGGAGATAGATTCCTTCATTTCATATCTAGATATGAATAAAAGTAATATATATGAGTATAGAATTTATTGAAATTATTTGAGTATCGGTATTATCTTACATTAAACTAAGGACGATTACGTATTCCATGGAAGTTGGATCTTTTGAAAGTCCAATACAACGGACAAATGAATCAAATGAACTAGGTTTATAGTATTTATTACTGCAGTTGACATGCGCTGAAAGCTAAAATAAGACAAATGTAAATTTAACTTTCATTCGACGACAAACATATCAAGAAAACTAATTGGATAAATTTCTTACCTCAGTTATAAACTCAGTAGAAATATTTTGCGATTTATGCAATTTTTTCAATATCACGGCCAAATTATAATAATCTTCATCAGATTCCCTATCTCCATCTCTGATCCACAAATTATTCGTGTGATCCCAATAAGATAAAGATCCACCCAATAAATTTGCATTATAGACTATGCCGTAATCATCCTCGGCAATATATTTGATGTTTGTCAATCGATTGTAGAAATCCATTCAAGTACGGCATTTGGATGAGTTGCATTTAGCTGACTGTTTTTAATGAGATCGTTGATTTTCTCATTTCCACTTGTCCAGGTATGGAATTGATCTTGAAAACGTTGGGCGTTGCATGGATGACACCACGGTCTGCTATCACCATTATTATAGGTGTTTGGTTGAGAACACTCTTTGCAGGTTCCATAATCTTTGGGATAGTCTAGGGGGATTATAAATCCCATTTCAATTATGCACCCAACTGGTGGCAAACCCCATTCTAATATTTCAACAAATGCATATTCATTTCGATCGTTCAGATACGTAATACCACGTGGTCCCCACCAATTTTTATTATCCTCTTTCTGAACCGTCTCTGCATGTTTTTTCAACTAGCAAAAAAAAAAGAAGTATTTAAACCAATTAAGATCAATGCATCAACGAAACAATCCTTTTCAATGATATGAATAGAACAACTATAAGATACCTCCTGCAGAAAATCTGTATCTGCTTCCAACTCCCCCTGCTTTATCAACTAGCAAAAATATATATATGCACCAATTATGATCAATACATAAATGACAAAACCCTTTTCGATTATTTGAATAGAATAACCATAAGTTACCGCCAGCCGATATTCCATATCGCTATCATAATCGTATTGCTTGGTTCTAACTACAGCCCTGATAGTTGTCCTCTTTATAATAACTTGCTGATTTTGGCCAATTTCCCATCCAATGTAGCCTCCATCTATCCAATCGGCAGTGTAGATTATCCCCTGCCAAGTGGTTCGAATCTTTTTCAGATTCTCCAAACTCTCAGTTGGAATCCATTTCAAGCAACGGTAACCATGCCAATACGCTTCTTTTTGTGTTTCCTGAATAATTGTATCATATTCTTCATTTCCACTGGTCCACCCTTCCATTAACCGTTTGAGATCACATTTAGCACACCATGCATTCCAATCTAGTAGGCCTCCACAATAAGCGCAAAATGTTCCAGCAATTAATGCATACTTGTTCAAACCATGGAGGTACGTGATGCCAAAAGGGGCAATTTATCATCAAAAGTTCTTTTTTTAATAATCTCTGCGAATCTTTCTAACTGTAAAAAATGAGTATTATTAACCTATTTAGATTGAATTGTGTTGGACAAATTTTTTATTATTACAAAACTTTAGTCACCTCTTCTAAGAAATTTATGTCTTGTACGTCAACAGCGCCTAGCAGCAATCGTGTTAAGGATTTAAAAAAAAAAAAAACACGTGCGAGAATTATTAGTGCTTTTTAAAACCTTTACTGTGACTTTGACCATTTTCCAGTGATGCATAATTTGTAGATTTTCATCATAATTCACTGTGTCATATTCACCATCTACCAAATCAGCAGAATAAAAAATTCCGGTACTATTGTTTTGAATTAGCGCTAGATTCTTTAAACTGCTCGTGGGAATCCATTTTAAGCATTCATAGCCAACCCAGTCAGCGTCTTCTTGTGTTTTTCTGATAATTTCATCGTATTCAGAACGCCCACTTGTCCACCCTAGTGTTAACTGCTTACGTTCGTAGTGACATTCTGTACACCAGGGACAACAATCTTTGAATATGCTACCGCATTCCATACAGATTGCACCACATATTAGTACATATTTTCCCATTTCTTTTAGTTGCGAAACACCATAGAGTCTACATTTATAATCGCGAGATTTGTCATCCAATTCCAGAAGATAACTCTTCCCTTTCTGTAACTAGAAATGAACAAACATTAACGAGAAGATAATGATTAAATCTTAAAACTTGTAATCACAAGTATATAGATACCTACATCTGCCAGAAAATCATCGTCTTTGTTAAACACTTTTATTCTACATTTCTTTGATTTATATTTATAAACTAATATGCCATTCCTATCGATTTGAAAACTATCATAGTCCCCATTAACCCAGTCTGCTGAAAGAAATGTTCCAAATTTATATTTACCGATTTCTATGATATTTTTAAGATGTTCCTCTGGAATCCATTTTAAACAAGGATAACCATGCCAATCAATGCCTTCTTGTGTTTCTTTTATTATTTTGTCATATTTCGCATTTCCACTAGTCCATCCTTCCATCACCAGTTTGCAACCACATTGAATGTACCATTTAAATTGTTCCAGAGACCCATTGCAAACTTCGCAGTTATCATTATCTTGCTTACGAACACATTGAATGCAGCATTTATACAAATCAAATGGTTCACCACAGTCGTTGCAGTTATCATCTGACATTTAGAGCTTATTAATTTAAATGTTTTAACAATTTGAAATATCAAATGGAAATTCTGTTTTTTGATGATTTGATACCGAGCGAAAAGTTCTGCTTTATATTCTCGAATAGGTTGACAAATAAGATGAATAGGTTGTTTATCTGACGTATGGTTTGTTAATTTACTAAATTTGGAATTGTAATTAATTTACACGTAAAGTATATACACGAGTATTAGTTTACAAATTTATGTAGCAAAATTTTTATAAATGAAAAGTAAAATGTTTAGTGTTAGAATTAGAATATATTTTAAGGTTTGAGTATGGTATAATTTATACTGAAATTTTTCAAGAAACCTTTTTTTTATTAGAACCCTCAAAGCAGCTTTATAATCTAAATTTCGAGGCATAATCAGCTTTTTAAAGAAAGTAATAATTTTCATTTCTTTAATTTTGCTTTCTGATTGGTTTCTCTATATACCCATGTATATATGTGTAATATACAAATAGATGTACGAATAGAAATTGACTTTAGAATTTATGTATTACTTGATTGTTTTTGCAGTATAGTTTACAAATAAAATTTAGGGGAATTTACATATAGGGGCCCGAAAAGTGAAAATAATTACAAATAAGGGCCCAAATTGAAAATAATTACATA